AGAAACCCGGCAAAGCCTCCTCAGAGTCTGCCTCCTTCGGAAGAGTGAGGGAATGCCAGAAGAGAATAAAGAGAAAAGAAGAAGAGGCCTACAATTAAGGTTGTAGGCAATTTCACTTCCCTAAAAACCCTTGGGCTTCCAAATACCTGGGGGCTTTAAGGAATTCTTGCTTCCAGATCTTTCAGTAAAATATAGAGTTGTCAAGTGGTAAAAAAATATACATCTGTCCAATTAACACTGACCCATAATCAGGGGTCAAGTTGGCCATATTCCTTGCTGTCCCAAAGACAGGCACCAGGAGGTCTCTTAACACATTGCGTACCGCATAGAAATCTCTAAGACATACGCCAGGGACCGCACGTTTTTGGGCAAACTACACGTTATTTAAATCATCATAATGCACTTTAGGTGTTGTTTTTCAATAATTATAACATTTTTATTTACAAAAACAATTAAACAATTAAAGTTCCTAGTACTTTTTTAACGTATGGTACTGCGTAAAACATTTTCCTCTATGAAGAGGGACCAAACAAAATTTACATAAGTATCTAGATTCGCTCTTTTTTCCATGGGCGTGAACAACGAGAACACTCGTGAGCGGTCCTTAACAGATGGCGCGAGAAACACGAGAAAACTCCTGAGCGGTACGAAATGTGTTAACAGAAAACAAGACTCTGATGGATAAAGAGGGATGCATGTTTCCAGATCATCTGGGGCTGATTTTTCCTTCTGGCTTTTCTAACCACACATTGGAGTTTCTGTCTGTGGGGGGGAAAAAAGCCCACAAATGCACCTAAAACTTTTTCTAACTTTTTTTATTATATTAATACTAGAGGCCCAGTGCACGACATTTGTGCACTGGGGGCGGGGGGTGGTCCCCTCAGCCCAGCCTGCGACCTCTCGCAGTCTGGGACCCCTCAGAGGATGTCCGACTGCCAGCTTAGGGAACGGGTCTAAGCCGGCAGTCAGACATACCCAGAGGAGTCCTTAGCACTGCCACAGAGGTGGGAGAGGCTTCTGCCACCACCACTGCACAGATTCCTGGTCCGGGCACGTGCCCAGGTTGCGGGCTCCATCCCCAGTGATTGGGCGTGCAGGAGGCAGCGGATCAATGATTCTCTTTTATCATTGATGTTTCTATCTCTCTCTCCCTCTCACTTCCTATCTGAAATCAATAAAAATATATTTTAAAAAAATAAAAAGAAAGATAGAAACATCGCTGATGAGAGCAGATCATTGATCAGCTGCCTCCTGCACGCCCCCTACTGGGGACAGAGCTCACAAACCAGGCATGTACCCTGACCGGGAATCAAATCAGGATCTCCTGGTTCATAGGTCAATGCTCAACCACCAATGCTCAACCACCCAGCAACACTGGCCAGATTCTAACGTTTAATGTTATGTAGAAAGACACCTAAATTCCAGTTCACACCATACTGCTCACAGAGACAAAAGCCTAACAGCAAACCTCACTGGGGTTCACAAGTCCTCCTGCAGTTCCTGGCAGACTCTGCCTATCCATGCGCTGCTCTGTCACATTTGGTGGACAAATAATGGCACAGAACACACGTTGCCATCAACAGCCCCGACCATTTGTACCACAGCACAGTTTTCTTCAGGTTCCTCGTTCTATCAATATTCAGGACAAGAAAAGCAACCAGAGCACCTAGAACAAATTCAGATTTTGGTTTGAACTTGTATGGCGTTCTTAATTTATAAATTGCTTCCTGGAATGCTGCCCTTTGGTTTCCCAAGGGTGTTCTTGAGTTGGGCAATCAACATTCAGGGAGAAAAAAAAAAAGGAAAGAGATAGATTGCTTTTATAGTATGCGTACTATGATTTTCCTTTTACTTACTGTACAGTAAATTAGCCTGTTGTCCTTTTTTATGAGGCATTTTCTTTAAAGATGACCATTAGTACTATGCAAGCAGATTTTGAAACAGGTATAAAGCCAGTATGGCTGAGTGTGGCTGAAACCAGAACAGCTATTTTTTTCCACTTACACAGGAAAATTCAGGGAAAAATTGGTTACATGGGCAACTCAGAGTTTCTTTTGGAATGCCTTCATGGAAACTCAGGCTGTATTTGATACACACACCATATTTTTTAATGGTGTCGTGTGGGTGGGTTGGAGACACATGAAGAGCTCCAAAATCCATATAAATATCCAACCTGGGCATGGAGAAACTCTCTCATTTCCTTTTTATTGTCTATTGCTCATTTGCTAACTTACTGGTAGCTTGATACTCTAATATTCCTTTATATACATTTTAACTTAATCGTTAGCACCAAGTCTCTAAAACATGTGGCTAAAAATGCTATTGCTCCCTCAAAAAATATTTTAAAAATAAAAACACACCAAAAGAGCTGCTGCATTTAAAACAAGAGGTAAGATGAGCTTACGCCTATTCTTTTCAGCCCTAAGCCATCCAAGAAAGACACACAAACCAATAAACAATAAACCTAACATCTCTTACTTTCTTTCTCTCTTCATGCCAGGGTTGCTGCCTGGGTGGTAGCCATTCATTCTGGCTTGTGTGCACTTGGAGTGAAGGGACTAGTTAATGGGGAAATTACAGATGGCTCCGTATGGTGGGTTCCCTTATTTACATTTGTGGTAAAACCCAAGGCAACTGATCTGTAACCATGACTTGAATTGAGCCCTTACATGGAAATTTTTCCAGCCTGTGGCAGCACCTAAACAGGCTTTCTGGGAAGGGTGTAGGAACCTACTCTTCCTACGGCAGCCTTTGCCAGAGTACTTTATTATACTAATCATGATTGTCCTGAACAGCCCTCCCACACCCATCCTTAAAGCAATGTTCGCTAGAGTCACATGCTGGTGTCTGGTTAAAAAAAAAAAAAAATTCTCAGGCAATGCAAATTGATAAAGTTTTGGCTCTGAATGTTAGAAATAATATTGAGTCAAAAAGTGAAGATGTACAAAAGTCTTTTGAAGTAGAATAGTAACCAAAGAGGATTAAATTTACTAATATAATCATAAAGAAGAACAAAGGGATAAGGGACTGATGATAGGACAAAAGGATGGTGTATGAAGCTCAGATAAACACTGGAATCACATTCAAATCCAAGGCTGTCCACTGCAGTCAACACTCACGCTAAAAGTACATGATGGAACTCAGTTTACCTTCCCTGCACAGTTTTCCTTCGTGGCATAAGGAAATGCTTTGCCTCACGGCGTTGTAAGGACTTGCTGCTTCACACTCCTCACAGAATTTTATTTTAAGGTCAATTATGAGCTAGCAAGTCACTACACGTTCAGAATGCATTTGCCAAATTAGGAACCCAATGTCTTCACTCCAATTAATTGCTTTGAGGAGATAAGTATAAACAACTTTGGTTAAAGCAAGAACTATAAGCAGATACACACTCTCACCCAATTTTTGGTCATAATGAAATCCTTAAACTCAAACTAGTGAAAAGAGGAAGGAAGGAGTACCATCTGTCTCTCCTTCATGTTAGCCTGTAAGCTTCCTAGTATCAGTACCAACGACAGCTCGACAACCGAAAGAGCTGTTGATGTCGGGAACTAAGTGTCAGGTAATAAAAGAAATAAATGCCTTCTGATTGATTGTCTAGCCTCATTCCCCCTGATTTCAAAGTCCCTGAGAAGATTCATCCTCTTGATGTGAAGCAAAGATAACATTTCCCCCCATAGGAAATATCTTGCCTAAAGGAAAATAAATTGTATACGATGGCACATCCATCTCAGAAGTTTAGTAAAACTGAACACCTGTAAAAAAGTGAAGGATGGGTTCTAGGCCATAGGGGGCAAGACCAGTGATGATTGTGAAAGGATGAAAAGTAATCATTTTATAGACTCTGGTGAAGTTGCTTGAAAAGTCAATGATTCAATCCCCTCAAGTATTAATAGAAACAGATACTCAGGGTTATAATAAACACTTAAAGCCATCTTGTCTCTGGCAAGTGATGCTAAACAATGTTACCATAACCGAATCGCTTCTTGGAGTCTACAAGTAATACTTATGTATTTTGTTCTTGATACTTCTGATGAAAATTGGCCTTTTATGAAAGAATAGGCTGTAAAAGCATATAGATTTATTGCTCTACACAAGGTCTCAGGTGTTGGGTTTAAGATGTAAAGTTTTATGAGTATATTAAAAAACTGTTTTAAGAAATAACACATTGAAATAAAATTCTAATATATATGAATATTGCTATAAAGTAAGAAACATTCAACCTGTAAAGATTTTTTTGTGAGTTTATTTGAGCCAAAGTGTTGACAATTGTCAGGAATCAGAATCTCAACTGTATTGAGATAATGCTCCAGAGAATGACAGTTTTTCACCTTGTTTTATACATTACAATCAAAGGAGACATAAGTGGGTTACATGAAATCCACTGATGATAGATCAGGGAGGTGGGAAAAAGCAAAGTGGGGAAACCTCTGGGATTGGATAAAAAAATAAAATGATAGACACAGGCCTCTTTTACATAGGTGGGTACAGGATAGTCATAGTCAACAATTAACAAGACAACAATAGCAATGAGGGAATCTGTGGTCTGTGCCCTGGCCTCATTTGTTGTGCCCTGAGGCGTCCCGAAAAGGGGAAGTTACAAGTTAGTGTGACATTCCACAGCTATGATACCTTAGATAGAAAAAGACAGTAGGCTCAGTAAAGATGGAAGATGATCTTTGTGAGGGAAGATACTGGCCTGAGACATGACTACCCACTATAAACTGCTTTTCAATGAAAAGGTTTTAATTTCAGACCATCCTTTGTGGTTACTTTAGGTCTGGAGTTTGCAAGGCCACCACTCAGGCCTTCCCTGAGTGAGATTAACAGCCGTGGGCAAACTACGGCCCTCGGCCGGATTGCCCGTGTT